TTGCCACCACAGAAGCACCCTTCTCCCTGTTGCACAACATACAAAGTCTTCATCAGTGCCAAGCCTTGTTTGTAGCTCTCCAAAATAGTTCAAAGTTTGATGAAAATAGAAAATCATTGTCTACTGTAAAAGTGCAGGAAAAGAAAAACCTTAGTCACAATTACCACCTCATTAATGTCCAATCTTTGTGTGGTAACATGGAGAAATGACAGGTAAGAGTTAGGATAATACCACCTTGGCATTTTTTTATCACAGTAATCTCATTACCGGTCTCTATCTTCCAATTCTTTGTACCTATGGATACAACTCTACTTTTAAATTCAACTATGCACTTCTGTCCATGTATATCTTTACAATAAACATATGCGTAACATGTGATCTACATTTGTACTTCGTTAAAAATGGTTCGAAACCCCTATCTCCTGTTCACAATCATGGATTTCCTTAGGTTAAGGCAGCTCAGCTGACAATTTCTCGGGACTAAAGTAATTCATATTTGGAGCCTTTTGTATGAAACCAATTTTAGATCACATATTCATGCACGTGTTTGTTTTGAAACAAGATCTAGGCAGAATATTAAAATAGCACTTCCTCTATTCCTTATTATAGTTCACTATATCCTTTTTTTGTTGTTGTTCTAAATAAGTCTTCACCTTAAACTTTTTCATCAACTCACACCATTTATTTCTCCTCAATAACTAACTCCACACAATTTTTTACCTATTTTTATTCACTCTTAGGCTCTGTTCTTTTGAGTTAGGAAAAATTAACTTCCAACTTTTTCCAACTCCTAGTTTCTTTCAACTTCCAGTTCCTTCCAACTCTTTCTAGTTTCTTCGAACGACTTAAAGAAGGTATTTATATATGATGAATATAAAATAACATTGTCTGTCCAAATTTATAACATACCACCTCAAACACAGACAATAATGAATCATTTTTTTCCAAAATTTGAATTTTCTTACATATTTATTTGGGTGATCATTTAATTGAGTGACTTTTTAACACTTTAATTTTTCCAACATTTTCCAACTCCTAGTTTTTTCCGACTCCTAGTTTCTTCCAACATCCAACTCTGAAATTCCAATCTAAAAGAACAGAGTTTTGGTCTATGTACAAGAGAAACTACAAACACTAATTAGGACCAGAGGGAGTCATATTTAAACATCCAATTCCAATAATGTTAAGAATATGGACCAAACTAAGAGTGAGTCATAAGCAGAGGAATGCCCTGCAATGAAACTACTTGTTGTCCTAGAAAAAGTCTTCACTTCCTTTTTTCTGTACCTTCCAAATAAGGTTATACTTTTATGTTGAAAGAATTGTACTATAATTCATAACTACCTACAGTAATTAGGAATATAGTTAGTCATATTTAAAGATCCAATTCAATAATTTAAAGAATATGGTATACGGACCAAACTAAGAGTGAGTCAAAAGGATAGGTGATGCCCTACAATGAGTTTATAAATCTAGTAGTTATGTCCGAAATAAAGTTTTCACTTCCCTTTTCAGCTTTTCTATTCCTTCGGGATAAGGTTCTCCATTTTTATTTTTTATTTTTTGAAAAAAATTGTATGATTCATAATAGTTTTCTCTTTTCTATGCATAAATATCAACAACAAAAAATTTACAAATGCGAACAACAACAACAACAATCTAATTGTACACTTAAAAACTAAAACGTGCATAATACGTCTATAATCATTATTTTCCCACAAATTCTAGAAACACAAACAGATTGAGCTACTCACCTATTCCGGCCGCCGATGATGATGTTCAGGTCAGGACATAGATTAGAGAGAGAAGTTGCGGTGGAACCACCAATCCTTCCGGTTCCGCCTAGTATCAGAACCCTTGACCATTTAACCTTCTCTTGAAGCTCAATTCTCTGGTTCTCAGTATTATCTTTGATGGCCGCCGAGTGTAAAACAGTCATTCTGGCGTTAAACCAATTCATGCAACTGAGAGCGGCCATTCCGGTGGTTAGAAATGGTCGGACCTCCAGCTGAGTCTCCTATCACTGAAGTCTAGCGGTAAACTGGCCGAGAGAAAAAATAATGAAAAGAGAAAGCGACTCTATCCATTTGTGGCCTCTCAAAACGGTTTATAAGTTGTTTGTAAGTCTTACTTACGACTTACGAGAAGGTATATGGTGTGCTACTTAAAATAGTTACCATCTCATTTTGGACAAATATAATTATTCATTTTGAAAATTTTGAAATAGCATGGTACTTATTTTGAAAAACACACTATTCATTTTAAAATAATATAATGCTTATTTTCATACATTTATTCAATACAACTATAATATTCATCTATGAATAACGTACTGTTCATTTTGAAACAAAATAATACTCATTCTCAAATAACTTAGTGTTCATTCTCAAGTAAAATAAAATTCATACCATAAATAACTTTCTCTCTCTTACCCGACCCGACCACACAACTGTAGGATTTTCATCCCTACGCCTCTCCTCCGCTCGACAACAGCTTTTTTCCTCGATCGACGGAGTCCCTCCTTCACCGGTATTCGATCAGACTAATTTACAGAGTACCCCTTCGATTTTCGTCGCCCTTCTTCACCCTTTCAATTTCGTCGGCAACTCTTCTTCCTCTTTCGTTTTACGAGCTGCACCCAATTTTTGATACAGCCAGTTGTATAATATAATTTGCGCTTACTTATTTTTAGGTAAGTTTTGTTGTTTCACCGTTTAGAACAAATTACTTACAAAACTATCACTCGTCTACTATTAATATCCCCAAATGACTTATAAATCATTTAAGTCATTTTATCTATGCAAATTTTTTTAACTTATAAAGTACCTATAAGTTAAAAAATGTTTATAAGCAATAAGTCAATAAGGACCAACACAGAGAATCATCTACAAATTTTGTATCCCTCACGCTAAAAAATAGGACTTTGTTGTTGTTGTTGAATAGGTTTTGATTTAAATTATATTCAATTCAATTTATTTGAAAACTGGTAAGGAATTAAAAACATTGTATATTTAAAAACTACATCAGAAGTTTTCAGAAATCTTTTAAAACAAGAGGTGGAAAAATCATATTATTTTTCTCAAATGAATCGTGAAAAATAGATGAAGAATGTAGTTAAAGTTTGACCTTTTGAATAGTAAACAATCAACTTAAATTGAAACAGAGGGAGTAATACCTCAATACTTTCAAATTTTAGAAAATCATATTACTCTCTCAAACCATCTACTTAAGTGAAATTTGGACTAAATAGTACTAAAACATATATAATTTTCCAATGTAGTACTTAAATTTTGTATTCCCTAAATAATAGTCGAATAATGTCTAGTGACGAAAAAAATGTCTAGTGATGACAAATATTTAGTTTGCACAGTGTCCAGTGGCACTGGACATTTACTTGAATTGAACAATGTCTAGTGACGCTAGACATTTACTTGAACAATGACCAGTATACATTGAACAATAGTACTACATTGAAAAATAAAAATATACTCCGTATGTTACTATATTGGGAAAGTCAACATATTTTATATTAGTATATTTGAATAAATTCCCATCTACTTAATCACCTCACACATAAACATTTATTTTATAACGTGACAAGTTTTCTTTTCGATACAATTTTTATACTCATTCCGTCTATTTTTATTACAATTTTTTGTTCTCTTTTCTCGGTAACTTTTGTTTATTTGCCCGATTTCGTTAAGTATTTGATAAAATAATATATTTTTGGCACCTCTTGTTTTGTAGAACTTTTATCGAAGTTTTTTAATATATAATTTTTATTTCTTATTGATATACCGATTTATACATAAAATAATTTCAAAAAGTGAGATATTTTTCCTCGTAATTCCCAATTTGTAATCAAATTGAGTACGTGAAGGAGTATTTTAATGGCCTTTTCATCATACCAGCGCACTGATCCGCTAGTTTTTTATTTTATTTTTATTTTTTTCACTTTAAAAAGCCGGGGATAATCCTTGGTCTCCGTACTTGTTTTTATAATAACGACAGGTATTCTGCTGATTTTCGTTTCCTTTTGTTTATTACACTATAATTTCCATATTAGAATTGTTTTAATGAGTCGAAAAAATTAGCTTCCAACTTTTTTAATTTTTTTAATTTTTTTTCAACGGTTTTTTTAAAAAAATTTACTAGTTTTTTCCAACAACTTAAAAAAAGTAATATATGACAAATATAAAGTAACATCATATATTCAAATTTATAATATACTATCTCAAAGACGGGCAAAGATAAACTGTTTTTATCCAAAATTAATTTTTTTACATATTTATTTAGGTGATCAATTAATTGAATGAGTTTTCAACACTCTATTTTTTTGGACATTTTCCAATTCCTTTTTATTTCTTCCCAATTGTTGCAACATCCAACTTTAGAATTCCAACTAAACAGAAGATGCCCTAATTTCTCTTCTTTTTTATTGTTAATTACGATGCAGAACCGAGAGAGTATTTCACAATTTATCACGATATAATAAAATTAATATGGAAACAACTGGTATGTTTTGCCACTATTTTAAACCTACAGTGTTTGTCGCTCTTTGTTTAAAAAAGAAAAAAAATTGATATCAAAACGGACTGACTAATCTCCATCTTCTAAGCGTAATAAATCTAGAGTCTCCTACCACTAAAAATAATACTCCCTCCGTCCCAAATTATAATGCCTGTTTACTATTCACAGGGTCAAACTTCACTCACTTTCTTTCTCTATTTTCGTTAGCAATTTGATAAAATAAAATATTATTGTCACTACTAGTTTTGTAGATTTTTTATGTAGTTTTTTAATATGTAATTTTTATTTTTTAATTCTATACCATTTATCATATAAAATGGTTTGAAAATAATTTCAGTCAAACATCGTAAACCGAAACAGGCGTTATAAAATGGGACGGAGGTAGTAGGAAAAAAATACATTTTTCTTTAGAAAAAGTTCATTGGCAAACAATCCAAATCGTATTCAATAAGGTAACAAATAGCCATTGGCAAACAATCCAAATCCGGAGATTCAAGCCAAAATTGTTCAAGTCATTTGCCAACATAATCAAGACACTCTGCATATGTGTAGCCAACTACTGATCTAATATCAAGTATCAACACAAGCTCAAAGCAGGAAAACTGTTTTCTAAAAATTGAATAGAAACAGTCGACTTAGTAAAACCATCGGCAAAAGCCACACTCGAGAAAAACCAACAAACTATGGGTATGTTGTTATGAATGGAGGGGAGGGAGGAGGGGGAACCAGCCATGAACCTTTCATTTCATCTAGGGTGCCTCTAACATGAAAGAGTTTCAAGGAAAACTTCTCAATTCCGTTTTTGGCAGAACTTCTCGAGGTAAATAACGGTGCTGACAGAATCAAGGTACAAGAGGCTTGCTATCCCAAACCTCTCTTACTTCGATTAAGGAGGGACAGTACCTTTTAGCAAGGACTTCAACTTGTTCCGAAAATGATTTGATTGCATGGTTCCCTATGTGAAGAACCATTTGCTTCCAGCGCTTCAAACATATGTCTCCAGACCGATGGTCGAGAAGATTATCCCAATCCACATTTTCTGTGCAGGTTGCATCCAGTTTATAAAGCGCGTCAATCAGGCGGTAATCATCAGTGTCTGACCATAAACCTTCAGCCACCATAGGCGATGATAACTGGGTGTACCACTTTGCACAACAAGTTGAATCGCTGCGCGTGGATAACTTATCACTAATTGCGGTCCAACTCACATTGTCTCGCAGCATACCATGCTTAGATTTCTTCTCTTCCGAGATCCTCAACTGCATATCAGTGTTTACTAAATCAAATAATTTCTGGTACTCATCCTGGGACCAGTGTCCTTTCTTCAAGTTAGGCAAATGGATCCTGCGCCATGTGTCCTTCACGTGAAACCTGTGTCTGCCAAGTTCTTCAGCGAGCTCTTTCCACCGATTCCCATGTGTTTTCTGGTGTTTCAGTATCAGTTCCTTCTCCTCTTCGGTCCATTTATGGTTTTCATCACTTCGAAACAGGGTTTGAGCACGATAATAGATTGCAGTATAAGGGCGGTAAGGTATGGCAGCCCCTATTTCCTTCCAACAGTGTCTCAGTTCAGGATGTTTTTTACTATTTAACACCATATCCAAACCATCCTCACCCAAATCATGCATTTCAATGTAGTCATAAACAGCTTCTTTTATTTTTGCATCTTCATCCTTCGAGAACCTCTTACCTCGAACAACACCATCTTCACTTCGATGTTCCCCACTCTCAGAAGCATTCGACACAGGAAAAACCTCCACCTCGCTGGAGAAACTCACTTTCTTCTTGCTACTTTTTGATGTTTTGCCATTGGACCTATTGTTGTTTGCCTTTTTGCCATTACTACTATCATCTTGCACCCCACTAGCCGGTTTTCCATCTACACTTGTAAAAGGTATAGCGCCATCTCCTACTGATCCCACGTCATCTTCCCTCATCTCTTTCTTGTTCCTTTTCTTCTTCCTCTTGACCTTCTCCGCATTGCCACCAGTTATTGTTCCTTGTTTCCGGTCACATTTTCTTTTATTTTCAGCTATCTCAGTTGCAATTGAGGGCATTTGGCCTCCCTTCTCTGTAGAAAGATCATCCTTTGCAGTATCTTTATCTTGGGACACAGCCTGCGATCCATACTCATTATTTTCTTCTGAACCCAGGCCATCCCCCATCTTTTCTTTCTTTCTCTTTTTCTTTAGGAACCTTCCCGATCTACCTCCCTTGTCAACAACAGAAAGATCATCCTTTGCTGTATCTTTATCTTGAGACACAGCCTGTGATCCGTCCTCATAATTTGCAACTCCACTATTTTCTTCTGAACCCAGGCCCTCTCCCATCTTTTCTTTCTTTCTCTTTTTCTTTTGGAACTTTCCCAATCTACCTCCCTTGTCAATAACAGAAAGATCATCCTTTGCAGGATCTTTATCTTGAGACACAGCCTGCAATCCATACTCATTATTTTCAACTCCACTATTTTCTTCTGAACCCAGGCCATCCCCCATCTTTTCTTTCTTTCTCTTTTTCTTTTGGAACTTTCCCGATCTACCTCCCTTGTCAACAACAGAAAGATCATCCTTTGCAGCATTAGTATCTTGGGACACAGCATGTGAGTCATCATTTCCAACTCCTCTCTTTTCTTCCAATCCCATGTTATCCACACTCTTTTCCTTCTTTCTCCTTTTCTTTTTGACCTTTTCTGATTTACCCTCTGTGCAGTCATCAGTCCTTGTTCCTTCATTCTGTTCATCTTTCCTGTTGTTTTCATGCATCGTAGATACATTAGTTTCTACTTCTCTCTTCCTTTTCTTCTTTTCTGTTTTCTTACTACAAGTTACCCCATTAGCATCACTGGAACTCCATGTGTCATCTCGAGTAGTTCTCATCCTCCTTTCAGCGCCGCACAAAGTTCCTCTCTCAGAGCTTTTTCCACCCTCAACTCTCACATCCTTCAACACATGAAGAGGATTGACAGCTAGCTTCTCATTGATCTTCTTCTTTGATTTCATAGATTTCGTAGGCAGTTCTGATTTTGAAAGAGTACCCACCACATCATCTTCCACAGTCATTCCTGTACAAAAAGTCCATTATTGCAAACTTTAACAGTTTAACTAGAATAAGTGCAAACAAAAAAAGATCAGTGGCAGATGCCTAAATAGAATTCAGCTGTGGCCAAAAATTGTTAATATGTATGGGGAACAAGGGGCAGCACTCCCATAGCCACAGTGTCTGATGCTATTTTGGTTCCACTTGTAAAACAACAAACAGGTACTCCGTAATATATAATTTCACACTTTCATTGTCAATTTCTATAATCAAATACATAAAGCAGTATATATACATATATAGATAAACTTAATTAACTTACACAGAAAATTCAACACGGGATTTTTTAGTTTGTACTCCATTGAATTGAAATTCTAATATGCTCCCTCCGTCCCAAATTAAATTCATAAGTTCTTTTTTCATCCGTCAAAAATTTAAGTTCACACATCTCCCCTTTCCTCTTAAGAAAAGAATAATTTTATAATATTTCTCTCTTTCAAATACCCACTACACATTTTTTACTTTTAACATTTTTCTTAAATTTCGTGTAGTCAAACTATGAATTTAATTTGGGAATAGAGGGAGTACTGTACGGCATTTGAACAGCAACTAAACAAATACAGGTAGTGTTTACTGTTTAGAAACGTAGATTTCTTTTGAATTCATAGATTTCAATTTAAAATATGAATTTTTGGATTTGAAATTGCAAGGGAGAGTCAAGAGTGTATAGATTTGTAAGTAAGCTTTGTTGGGAGTTAGAGGAATTTGGTCCAAATCAAAATCCATTTTTTTGGATTCCCAAACATAAAATTTGAGTAAAATCTGGATTTGAAATTTGAATCTATGTTCCCAACGCCATAAAAAAATCAAAATCAAAACAGTCAACTCCATTCCACATTTGTAGCAAAAACAAAATCAAAACAGGCAGAAAATTAACAACTTCATAGATATTGACAAATCCATTCCAACTTTGATAACAACATAGCATAGTAACAAAAACAAATATTTAAAAAAAAGGACAGAGTAAAGGAAACATATACCCTTAGGGAGGAAGCCGCAAAGGAATTGCGGTGGTCAGACACAGGGGCGAAGCAGCTGCTCAAGGGACGGAGGTCAGCCTGTAGGAGGACTTTGTGGAACGCGATCTCGGATCTCCACTCGAGGAGCGGCGTCGTGGAGGCTCCGGCGAGGCGGAGAGGTTCGCCTGAAGATGGATAAGCCGGGAGCTATTGCGTGATGATGGCGAAGGGATTTTTAATCGGTAGATGTCGAGGAAGATAGTGTCTTTTTAAAATTTTAACATTTTCGTGCACCCGGCTCTATATGTGATCCAGGTTTGGCCTTGTCAGCTGTCTAATAAGATAGTGTCACAAATAATAGGACAAAACAGTGACGCATTCATTATCTTACATTTTTTCAATTTGGTTGGTAATTTGATATTAAACTACTCAAATATAATCAAATATTGAATGTGACAAAAACAGTAGGACGAAAAACAATGATAAAAAGAACATAGAATTGAGGGACTATTTTTACCACTAGTACTTTTACATATAGAATATGTTTTCGGAAAGTAAACAAGAGTGGTTTTTGATATAGTATTGGATAGGTATGGATTAAAAGATTGGGTCATAAGATAATATTCAATCGATTATATAACTATACACAAGAACTTATACACCATATGTTTTTCCTTCACATTCAATGTGAGACTATAACATTTTCCGTCAAGAGGACAACAAAGTCATTGTGAATTTAACTGGTTGACCACCTACAAACACATTATACTCATTATTTTTCCATAAGGCTATATACTCATTATTTTTCCATCAACTTTCAGTGTAGGACTCTAATACTTTCCCTCAAGAGGACAACTAGGTCATTTTGAATTTAACTGATTGACCACTTTTACACGAACAATTGGGTAAAAGAGGTTAGAGGTTATTTCACATACAGACGATTGGTTAAAGACTCACAAGCCACTAGAAATGAACTTCTAGACGAATACCTTAATTAATGTGGTGAACCAAAATCTTGCTCTTATACTATGATATAATTCACACATACTTCCCATTTCAGCTCTTATACTCCTCTCACCTAAGATCCATAGCTAAAGTCGTAGGTAGCACAAAGAGAAGTTGATATAATGGTTGAATACAAGCTTTTTAGTATCATCGGTTATTTTATGTGATTGATGCCCTCTTCTTTTGGGTTGAAAAAATTAACTTCCAACTCCTTCCAGTTTCTTCCAACATCCAACTCTGAAATTCTTTTATGTGATTGATGCCCTCTTCTTTTGGCTACGTTCTCTTCGACTGATCTAATTTTTTGAAGATTTGGTCTGATTTGATTGCAATTTAAATTAAAGATCTTTCTAATCTGATCATAATAAGAATAAGTAATAGGCAGAAAAAATAAGTTGAACGGAACACTACCCTATTTAGTTAAGTTAGGTGGAAATTCTAATAGGGGTTACAACTCAAGGCCGGTCCCGAGAATTCATGGGCCTGGGCCGAAACAGAAAAAAGACCCTAAAAATCTTATCCCTTATGGTCTAACAAATTAATATATGTAAACTAATTATATTTAAATAATAATTAACGCAATATTATTAGAAGAAAAAAGTAAATTAATATATCATAAATTCATATCAATTCGTCAATTTTTATATTTTTTGTTTTTCAGTTTTAATTTTTTATATATCATAAATTCATATCAATTTTTCAGTTTTTATTTTTTTTAGTTTTCAGTTTTTTATAAATAAAATTATAAATATATCATAAATTCAAATCAATTCATCCAAATCAAATAAAGAACATATAGAACCATTAATCCATCCTATTTCATAGCAATTAGCAAAGATTTCTAATTAAAATTCAATAATTAATCCTAAATTTTAAATCTAAAGAATGAAAAAATGAAAGAAAAAAATTACAAAATTGGAAAGCTATGAATACGGAATACCTGGAGGCTGGATGGTCAGCTCCCGGCGGCGTCTAGACTCTGGCGGCGGCGGCGTCTCTCTACCGGCAGTTTTAGGATTTGGCGATTTTGTTCAGTCGGCCTCCCCGCGATATTTTTTCGGTTCTTTGTGTACGGGTAAGAAGGATGGTGAGTAAAGAGACGGGCCTTGGCATTTGGGCTATGGGCTTCTTATATACATATAAAATGTTTAAAAACATTGGGCCCCTTTAATTCATGGGCCCGGTCCGGGTAAGCTGTGTGTCCCCTATTGGGCCGGCCCTGTTGCAACTAATTGGGTGACAGAGTGCACGCCCATTCAATGATATTACGAAGGTGTTTGGAAATGTGGTGAGTTATGTAAAAGTAGAAAGCATAATTTAGAGGCAGAAAACATGTATTTGTAACTTTCCTAGAAAGCACTTCTAGATCTTAATTTTAACTTCTAAAGTCATAATTTATAAGTTAAAGCAGATTAGCAAACATTTAAAATTGTGTTTTAGTAAAGTAGAAGCTATAAGTTATTTTCAAATGCAATCCCAAACACTCTCTACAAATTTGTAGCTAGATCCAAAAGACAGAGTCCCTCACAGGTTTTTTATTTTAGACGTCGTTGAAAAATGAAAATCCTTTAGATTGTAAATAGAGTCAAAATAATGAAACATTCAAATGCATGAAATCACACATTTGAATGTTAATGTTAACTCCAGCACCCTTTGAAAAAGATGATATACATTGAAATCTTTAATCTTAAACATTCAAATGTTTAGGGCTGTCAACGGATATCCGAAAATTCGATTGCCGTCCGTATTTGTATCTGTTTAAAAAGGAAATATCCGCATCCGTTTTAAATAGATATTATCCGTATCCGATTAATAAACGGATACGGATTTGGTAATTGTATATCTGGTCCATTTAAAATCCGATTCGAATATGCATCCGTTTAAATAACCGTTTATCCGAATATCCAATCGGTTATATATAATTTTTCTTAATTTTTTATGTTTATATTTTGTTTCTCTATTGATATTTCAAAGTATAAAATATTTTTATACACAAAATAAATGTGTAGACACATAAAAATATGTGTATGCGTGTGTTGCGTATATCTTTTTAAATTTTTATCATATGAAGTTATCGTAGAATATCATAAATTATGAAAACAAAGAAAGTAATTATCCCATAACAAATTATAGTTGATTTAATAATAGTTTGACTTTAATCTAATTTAAAATTAAAGTATTGTTTAATTTGATTTTAAAAATTAGAAACGGATGCGAATATATCCAATATCCGACCGATATGTGACGAATGCGGATACTATTTTGATTTTCAGTATCCGTCAAGATCCGTATCCGAATTCGATATCCGAAAAAAATAAACGGATACGGATTTAGTAATGACACATCCGATTCGATTAATATCCGTTTACACCCCTACAAATGTTTCACAATGAAACGTGAAGATTCTCGTAGAAAATTTCTAAAACACAATTGTTTTTACAATAATAGTTGCATACATTGGTATGTATTGCCAAATCATTGAAATGTATTGCATAATGTTTTATTTTTTCATCAACAGACACGTTCGATTAGTTTGTGCTCTAGATATATGGAACCCAACATGGTATGTTTGCGAAAGATAGATTTTTTGATTTTCTATACTCGTCCTAGATACTTTTCCCTCCGTCTCAATTTATATTATCTGTTTCGATTTTTGATGTTAGACTGAAATTATTTTCAAATCATTTTTGTATGAAAAATGATGTAGAATTAAAAAATAAAAATTACATATCAAATTACTATATCTAAAGATCTACAAAATTAGTGGTGACATGACTTTTATTTTATTAAATGACTACCAAAAAAAGAGAATGAAAATGAATGAAATTTGAATTTATAAATAATAAACAATTTAATTTGGGACGGAGGGAGTAAAATTTTACCCGATTAAAGTATTTTAGTATAACCGAAAATAACTTTAATCTGAAAGCAATCAAGTGATTCGATTAGTAGATCAAGTTTTCTCACATTTGTTATACTGTTCTTTATAATGCTACTACGTAACGTTATCACCCCTTCCGATTTTTCAACATAAACTCCTATAGGGACTGTTTGGGCAATAAGTTGATAATCTAAATGAATGGCGAGATGCTAGATGAAGGATGAAATTGTATGTGATAAATGATTATGAAATACCTGGTATGAAATTGTATGTGATAAATGATTATGAAATACCTAGTAGATCGAATTGAAACGAAAAGCTAGTTTTTTATACGTTATATTTTTCCTTTTTTCATCTAATAAACAAAGTTTTTTTTCTCAAATCATAAATGAATTACTATAATACTTCATCTAAAATCGAGATTTAATGACATGCCAAACATACACTAGAAATTCCAACTATAGATCATAAACACAACTTAAACACGCCTCAAATATCAAATCAAAGATAAGTTAGAAGATGCTTGTGACAGACCTAGTTTTTGTAACTTCTATGCATTAAAAAATAAGTTCAAAAAAAACAAGGAAACATAATTTATGAAAAATACAACACAAAGCACAGTCACTGACTGCAACGGTCAAGGATAATGACTAGCTGTTATTACGATGTTGGGGGGGGGGATTATATATATGAATAAAAACAACTGCACAAACACAATCAGCATGTGAAATTTGCAGGAGGTTCGAGGCTACCAACCAAGATGCTGAGATCGATGTCCATGTCTTCAAACTTCTTGATGAAACCGTGAGTCTGGGTGTGTAAAAAAGAATCGGCTGGTAAGAACTAAAAAGGAGGAAAGAGTACGTGGGCAAGAAACAAACTGAATTAGTAACAGAATATACTGACCAGGAGGTCGGAAGCTGAAGATCTGTCTCTTGGGTCCTTCTGTATGCTGAGCATTGAACAATCCAGCACAACCAAATAAGAAAATAGTTTAAGAAACTTAATTCCTTTTGTAACCATAGGGGAAAAGGAAAATCGAAAAAGTATGATGATGTGGGGTATTTGATCATGGTGTATAATGGGCATGTTGATTTTACAATATCAAATTTGCAATGAAAATTGAACAATTACACACTCCATCCAAAATAGTGTTCTAAAAGTAAAAAGCTAACTTATTTCAATAATTTGTCAAAAATGTCTACGAAGTACAAACAAGTTCTGTACAATATGTTTAGTTGAGTAAAAAATAAATTTTAACAAAAGATATACGAAGTATATATGATTTTTCACTGTAGTGCCTTGCCAAAATTTAAAAATATGTCCTTCGACCAAGCATGACTATTTTAACAAAGTATACCAACTCATCATCACATGATAGTTTTTTCTACATGAGTGGAAAACTCTATGATGATTGCTTTGAAATGTTTTCTCATATTCTTTTTTTAGAAGGTTGCGGCGAAAGGGACATCCAGCATAAGACTTTGCCATTAAGATTTTTGCATGAATTTTGGGCGTTAATCAATTTTAGAAAAATTAATTGACACAATAAGTTTCATGCCACGGATGACGGATCCGAACATAGTTAGGACTAGCCTTGTCAAAGTGGAGTTTGTTTAACAAAGGTAATGAAGATGGTGATCATGTGGAGTTTGTTTAACAAAGTCTTTCTTGTATGTAAAAATCAATGTTAATATTTATATCTTACCAAGCAGAGACAAATGAGCAGAATTCTGGGGAAAACTGATCAGGCGGAGCAGAAGGTGGTGGACTTCCAACAATTGATTGCAAAAGTTCATAAAAGCTGGGCCATTCCTGCTTATCTTCAGACTGTATGTAAGGGAATCGTCCAATAGCACACTCCAGAATCACCATGCCCAAACTCCATATGTCACTCTTATAGTCATAGGTGTTTCCACTAATTCTTTCGGGCTTGAAGAAAGTTCAAGATGTGTCAGTGTGTCACTTTATATAAATATGTTGGAAAATTTGCAACGAAATAATCTTACCTTGCCCAATTTGTACAAAATAATCTCACTTTTTAAATTTGAATAGAATAATCCAACTTTCAACGTCGTTGTGCATGTTGGTCCCGAGTTGAGATAGAGGTTTGGATTGGTATAAATAGAGGTTGCAAGGAGTTTTGTGATGGAATGCATGATTTGTGTAGCATAAATAAAGGTCTAAACTAATATATGCAGAAAAATTGGAAAGTGGGATTATTCCGAGCAAATGTGAAAGGTCGAATTATTTTACACATATTGGCCAAGCATGAGATTAATTGTGCAAATTTTTCAAATATCTGTATTAGAATTTAAGCACCAGTACGTTTGAAGGAAGATATAAGCAACCATAGATGACACACACAATGGCCAAAAGAACATAGAGAACATGAACACCGCAACATATAGACAATGAAGCTTGTGGTCTATTAATTGAGCTAATGATGATTTACTTTACTCACCGCCATATAATTGTACGTTCCAACAAATGTGTCTCTTTGACCCATAGAGCTGGCGAGCATTGCACTCACACCAAAATCTGTAATTTTCACTTCTCCCTTGTGGTTCACTAGCAGGTTTGATGGTTTGATGTCTCGGTGAATCACATGTCTCTCTTGATGCAGGTAGACAAGACCTTGCAAGACCTAGAATACATGTGCTAAGTTGAAAATTCATCGTAAAATTGCAAAATTTGTGTTTAAAAATAAAATCATTAAGTTAGTGTTAAAACCTGCTTGCAAACAACTGCAAGATATGGTTCAAGAATTGTCTCGACTTGTCTTATTACATCTGCTAGTGATCCGCGATCCATGTATTCAAACACTAGAGAAATTGCTCCATTGTGATAGAAAGACTGATAGCAGACTACCACGTGTGGACATTGTGATGCTTTGTTTATTTTTAGTTCTTGAACGATTTGTTTACGTATTTCCTCTTGTATATTCATTTGAATAACCTGTACAATGGAAAAAGAGAGAAAGAAGAGTAACTCTTTTAGAATAAACCACACGTAATTTTCAAACCCGCACATAGAAACCACACGTAATTTTAAAACCCGCACATAGAAACTAACACCTGTAAGACAATATATAAAGATACAAAGACCCAACATTTAGACAAACAAACAAAAAAAACAATTTGCAATATATCTGAAATGGCAGGAAGGTTTACATAGAGCTTGTTTGTCAAGTCTAAAGTTGACTGAACCAAGACAAAAACGACCTCACTTATTTTCATACCCGGCCAGCTTAGTGCAGTTAAATATGTTAGTGTTTGGTGAAACCTTTGACTATCCATAAGGACATTAAGCAGGATATAAAAGCATCCCAAACAGGCACTAAATATACGAATCACAGTTTCAAGAATCAAAACTGACATTTTACAGAGTCAACTAATCCCTCCGTCCCAGTGTATTTGTCAAATAAGCATGACTAAAGAACACAACAACAACAACAACCCAGTTAAATCCCACAAGAGTAGGGTCTGGGGAGGGTGTGTGTACGCAGACCTTGCCCCTACTCGAAAGTAGAGAGGCTGTTTCCAAAGAGACCCCCAGCTCAACGTCGAAAGTTGCATTGCTTGACTAACTGCTACTTCATTAATTAAAGAAGCGCAGACACTTTAGAGATCCATTTTGATTTATTCCATCACACCCCAAAGCCAAAAAATGGTGAAATTTTGGCTCCATCGGAGATGATGGAAATAATAGGGAAACTTGATGTTTCAAATGGTGAGTGAACTCATTAAACAAATAGGGAAACTTGTGCACATTACTAGTGAAGCTAATACTGACCTTCAAAGCAAACAAAGTGCCAACCCATTTATGGCGGACAAGTTGAACTACACCCCCACTTCCTTTTCCTATAACTTTGATTGTCTCAAGATCTTCCAATGAGAATTGAAGGTCAATCTACTTTGTTTCAAAAGACAGAAAAAGTTAAAAGTGCATGGGAGTAAAACTAACATCCAATGAAAATATGCAACAACCAATAAAAATGATGGAACAAAAGCAGCTTGAACATTGACAACAATAATAACAAACCCAGTAAAATCAAACCAAGTGGGATATAGGGAGAGTGGGTGTAAACATACCTTACCCTTACACAGGTCAAACATTATCCCCTAAAACCCTCAGCCTAGCTACTCTTTTAAAATTAGCTAAATGCCCATAGTAACTTGAAGTATTGATTCGTTTTTCATCTAATATATCTTTTACTGAATTCAAGACTCATACTATTACATGTACAAGTTTAGAAGTGCATAGATTAGATGGTGAGAAAATAGAATTATTTGAACAAATCTCCCTACAATATTCAAAAGACAAGATGCTGAAGGAGATCAACATAGAAATCATGAACTTAAAACTTAAAAGTGACTAGTTTTTTTACGGATATAGGGATGGAACTTGCCAGAGATTCATTCTCCAGGGAAACCAATCTCAGCCCTTTCTGATTCAACAGCAAGTCTCCATCATGAAATGTCCCACTGGCAGTCCTACAGTGCAAGAATTGATTCAAAATTTTTTCAATAAATGCTTCTATTGAAACTGAACATGTAAATGTTAGTACAGAAGTAAAGAAGAGACTTACAGGAAGTTGGAAATGTTGGTTTCCGGAGTAGGGACGGAGAGTTTGAGTGCTGACAATGGCTTCTTTGTCTTCATACTGTGTCTCCTCCTCCTAGCTTGAGGTCTAGGGATGTAGTGCCACTATGAACTCACTTGGAAGCAGATTGGGTTAGATGCTTGATGTCCAAATGGGGATTAAAAATTATAACTAGGATATAATTTTATGTCGCACTGTTCTGATATAACTTATCGGGATGAGTTTTACAGGCTCACTTTTCTGTAACTCTGATCCATAAACCTGTGGTAGTCATAAAATGTACACGTAAATTGATTTTATACAATATAAACATAAGAGGCGAGCTTTTTCAACTTAAAATCCAACATTTTTGAATTACTCTCATAAAATACAAACACAAAGTGACAAAGTGCATTTTAACCAACTAATGGCATATCCCTGGCACCAAAAAAATAATTATAAATAAATAGGACTAAGTTCTTAAAAGCTTCTCATTTTCGTTTACCATCTATCCCGAATTATCTTCACATCTTTATCTTTATCTTTATATATACAAAGGCAAAAGATATGGAGGAATAGTGTTCCCGTCCAATTAAAAGGTGAAACTGGTGAACAGTAGAGTAGGGCGGCTAGGGGTTGCATATAACCACTTAAATAACCAGCTTTTGCTACCTTGGCACATTAAAAGATGTAACTTTATTTTTGCATGCAGCACATTAAAAGAGGAAAATTGTCTTGGCCATTGCACCACTGGAGATTTGGAAATCTCTGGGTTCCCGAGCCAAACCTCCATCCCCACATTATCTTCTCTATAAATAGATTACTCCACCTTACTGGATTCAGTACATAGCACCCATTGCAACACACCTTTTCTTGGATCTGCATAAACAAAAAAATGGATCAACTCAGATGAATGCGAGCATGTGGACAATGTTGAAAGACCTGGGCAACTCACATACCACCTGGATGATTCAAGTTCGTTCGATTAGAGTATACCATGTCGCTGCCCATGTGAGGTTTGGTGACACAATGGAGGTTGTGTTTCACGATAAAGAGGTTAGGGTCCCTCACATTTACCCTAATATATCTAACATTTTCATTACAGTAAGCAATACTTATTTGCAGTTCCAGATGCACCGATTCAGTTATATAACATCTAAAATGTGCAAGTTTGAATGTTTTATAGGGCACTAAGATTCATGCACAGATACAAAACCCACAAATTAGGGCCTTTGAGACCTTAATTACAGAGGGAGGTCTTTACGCTGTCTGGAACATCACGGTACATGATAATTACCAGACCTATAAGACAACTGGTCACCCAAGTTTGTTAGTGTTCTCCACTTTAACTAAGGTTAAAGCAATGAACGATGATCACTTCCCATCGTTCATGCACAATTTCATATCCTATGAGAAGCTACAGGACCAGCCATGTTTGAATGAAAAACTACTCATTGCTAAGTTCTTTACAAAATAAACTCTTCAACATTGTGGTATTTCAAACTGTTTTAATATGTGTTACTTTGTTATTTAAAATCCTCACCTCTTATGCATTTATTCTTTCTTGCAGATGTTAGGGGAAAAATAATTGGTCCCTCCAAAGTTCAACCACAAATTGTAGCCAGGAGTTCCAAGAAATTGATGGAGTTGACCTTGGAGGATCTCCCGTGAGTATAAACCTACATTAGTAATAGTGCACTGCACCTACGAGTATATGTACACTACTAAAAACTGGGGCTGCCTGATTCACAGAAACAACCATATCAGGTGCACGTTATGGGGCAAATACGTTGACCAGTTCAATGACTATATGAGCCAAGATTTACCTGATCCAGTCATAATTGTCTTAAAATTCTATCGCCCTAATTGTTACAGAGGTTTGTCTCTTACTTCATTCATGAATTGTAATTATGAACGATTCAAATAAAGCACTACACTAAACTTTGTAACGGATATGTAGGACAAGTCTCAGTTTCAACTTCTTTCCATGTGACCAAGATGATTTTGGACGGAAACTCTGACGAGGTTGTGGACTTCAGGGCAAAGTATGTTTTGTCTACGATATACCAATACCATTGTGTCGTATTGAAACACAGCAGCTATTCATTCATGAGTTGTCTAAACATTTGCACACCTTAAGAGTAGAAGGAGAAGACACTGCTACTTTAAATAGTTTGGTCCTTACTTGCTGTGAAGATGTGAGTGATGTGATAGAGAACATTAAAAGAATTAAAAGCTTTCTAGAAGAAACTAAGGTGGTACATTATTAAGGGCTCTAAACACACGTCTGCATATTCTCATCATATTACTTGGAGGTTTTTCAAATAAATGCCCTAATTGCTTACATCGCATAGGAGGGAGACTATTGAATCATGGCGGACATTGGAGGTTTGGCTAACTACCGAGATTGGTCTTATCTTGAATGCACGAGTTGTAACCGAAAGGTGATTCCAGACGGCACTCGCTTCAAATGCAGTAAATGCCAAGAACCTCTTCAGTAGTCTTCCTCATGGAGCCTACAGGTATGTTACATTATTTTGACCGTAATATGTAAGCGTATCATTTTTGGGCATAAGATAATCAAGCGTTAATGAACTGGTCAGGTACAAGGTCAATTGCAGACTTATTGATGACAGTGGGCATGCATCCTTTATTCTGGGGGACATTGGGACCGGAAATGCTCCAACCTGATCAATAAATCAGCGACATGCTTCGGGAGGATCTCATTCGGGTCATCTCCCAACCATTTGTCAATATTCAATTACATCAAGAATTGTAACACACATACAAATACGAACCTTTAGACTTTTTTTCAGAGAGGGAATGACCCAAGTGAATACCATGAAGATTTGGGTACTGTTGTTGGCAAGCAGGGATTATTCAAGATGTTTTTACCACAACCATTAGGATCTCCCTCATGGAGGGGAGGGGACAACATACATTTGGTGTTTTGCAGATGATCACTGATCCGATTATCCTAGCAAAGCACGACACTAGCACTGAAGTTCAAGCCAAAGATGATTTCTGGAATCAACTTGATGGGCTCACTGATCCGATTATCCTACAAACTTTGAACAACTTTGCAATGAAGAAGGTATAAATAGGTAGTTAACCGCACCATATACGCCACAACACAATGGTGTGGTTGAACACCGAAACCAAACTATTCTTGGAACCACAAGATCTATGTTGAAGGCCATGAATTTACCCCAATGGTTGTGGGGAGAAGGCGTGCGACACACTGTCTACATCTTGAACCGAACTCCGACAAAAGCTTTGGAAAATAAAACCCCATATGAAGCCCTGAAAGGACGGAAGCCCAATTTGGAACACCTAAAGGTGTTTGGATGTATGGCCCATGTCAAAATACCAACACCCAAATTAACAAAGCTGGCAGACACGAGCGAGTCAATGGTACATCTCGGGAGTGAACCAGGAAGCGAGCATACCGGCTTTACAACCCAAAGACAAAAGGGCTATGTTTTAGCAGGGATGTCCAATTTGAAGAAAACAAATCGTGGGACTGGGCTAAAGGTTTGGAGATGGAGGAAAATGAAAGGCAGGTTGAATTTGTTGTTGAAAATGAAGCTTGTGTGACTGGTCAAGGATTGGCTCAAAATGGTGGCAGCCCACTCAATACCTCGCCCAATCAATCCGAAGACCTGGTTGCTCCAATTGTACAGAATGGGTGTGAATCTGTTAGCCCACCGGAGAATTGTTCGTTGTCTACCCCAAAGTCGCTTGCCTCAGTTTCAAGCACTCTTATCAGCCCACTAAGTGTTCCAAACAGCCCGCATGAGTTTGAAAATTTTAGTACATCAGGTGCGAGTCCGATTTTAAGTTCACATATGATGATAAAGATACAACCCCTCGAGGATTTCTCCTGCTAAATGATGTGTATTCAAGAACTCAATCGATACAAGAGAAGGCTTTCAATCCACCTCACTTTGATGACGCAGAACTATTAATATCCAATGAAGAACCAAGTACCTTTAATGAAGCCAAAGAAAGCAAAGAATGGAGTGCTGCAAGGCAAGACGAATTGGACTCTATTGAACGGAATCGAACCTGGAAATTGGTTGAACTCCCGAAAGGAGTTAAATTGATTGATCTAAAGTGGGTTTATAAATCCAAAAGGGATGCAAAAGATAATATAATTTGCTATAAAGCGAGACTTGTTGCAAAGGGGTATGTCCAAAAGCATGGTATTGAGTACGATGAGGTGTTTGCTCCAGTTGCCCGAAGGGAAACAGTCCGTTTGCTTCTATCCCTAGTTGCACGAGATGGGTGGGGAGTTCACCATCTTGATGTGAAGACGGTTTTCCTACATGGAGACTTAAAGGAGGATGTATATGTATCACAACTTGAGGGGTTCAAAAAGCCGGGCAAGGAACATCTCGTGTACAAACTGGTAAAAGCTTTATATGGCCTGAAGCAAGCCCCAAGAGCCTGGAATTCAAAGCTAGATGCAACTTTACAACAACTTGGTTTCAAGCGTTGTCCACGTGAACATATTGTATACAAGCGAACCACGAAGAATGGACCATTACTAGTTGGTGTATACATTGATGATCTAATCATCACAGGTCCATGCAAGGATGAGATTGTCGGGTTCAAATGACAGATGAAAAATTGTTTTGAAATGAGTGATTTGGGGCTTCTAACATATTATTTGGGAATAGAGGTGAATCAGGACAAAGCTGGCATTACTTTGAAGCAAATAGGATATGCAACAAAGGTTCTAAAAATGCAAATTTGTGGGAGTGTAATCTTGCAAAGTTTCCTACGGATCCAGGTCTCAAGCTTCGAAAATATGAGGAACTAGAGTCTGTTGATGCAACTGAGTATCGAAGGAATATTGGGTGTCTTCGATATCTAACCCATACAAGGCCAAATATCAGTTATGCCATTGGAATAACCGGTTGATTCATGGAGTCACCAAAAACATCACATATGCAAGCTGTAAAACAGGTGCTGCGATATGTGAAGGGTGCAATCAACTATGGGATTCAATACAGGAGAAATGGCGATGCAAATTTGGTTGGTTATAGTGACAACTCACATGCGACTGATTGGGCAGATGGAAAGAGTACAACTGGGATGATTTTCTATTATGGGTGGTCTGATAGATGGTGCCGCCAAAAACAGAATACGGTTGCACTATTTTCATGTGAGGCTGAGTTCATGGCAGAAATGGCAACCGCATGTCAAGCCGTCTGGTTAAAAGGTTTGCTTGAAAAAATCACTGGTCAAAGCATGAAACCCATAACAATTCACGTGGATAATAAGTCTACAATCATGTTAATGAAGAATCCGGTGTTCCATGGGAGAAGTAAGCATATTGACACTCGGTATCATTTCATCCGTGAATGTGTCGAGAAAGAGCTAGTAAGGATTGAGCGTGTAAGTGTTGACGAGCAGAAAGCTGATATCTTGACTAAAGCATTACCGAGGGTTAAGTTTATCGAGATGACACAACTGATGGGAATTGAAGATTTGGCAGGAATGAGGACCGGAATCAAGGGGGTGAATGTTGGTTAATTCTAGTCCAGAATTTAGTTAGTTTAAATTTAAAAAAAAAAGAGCAGTTAGGCAATTTTTTGACAGATGTGTGGGTTAGCAACTGTTGTGTTTGTTTGTAATGGTTGTGTTGGTTAGTCCTCTATTTATATGTATGGACACATAATTTTGGACAGCGGTATCACAATAAAACACTTTGTTTATATACTTCAGATCTGATTTTTTTCTCTCATTGATGACCCAGTGAGGCGCCACCTATTCGATGAGTTTTCAAGCTCCAGTGCTAAATAAAGCTAAGAACTGTGATGGTGGAAAAAATGATGATGCAATGTTTTGAGAAAGTGTTTTGGTTTATGCAACTAGACTTTCAGCATCTTGTCTGCAATGTTTTTTGGTTTTTTTTGTTTTTGGTTTTTTGGCTTTTTTGAATTGTTGTGCAGAATGTATTAAAAGCATCGCATCTCATCCCAGCATGGATGAATTGAAAAGCAACAGCACATGAAATATGTACCTGCAGTTAAAAGGAGCCTGCTGGCTCCTGCAGTTTTGGGGCACGTTCGCACCAGCATATGTGGTTTATGGTGTCTGCTTTGTGTCGGCGGTGTCTCAAGGGCTATCCACTGACGAAAAGTTGTACCTTCTCACAACTCAGGGTTTGGGTAAGCAGGAGGTCATTGTGGTTAGCCATGACGGTCGAGGACACTGCCATTCCCATTCCTTAGATCTTTTCGGCTGTAGCCATGACGGACGAGGACACTGCCATTCCCATTTCTTGAATCTTTTTGGCTGGCTTTACTGGGGGAGTTGTGCTTTTATGTTTCAAATATGTTGTTAGGCAACTCCCCCACCTAGAAATCTCTGGGGATGTCATTCTGTATGGCGCATTATATCTAGCGTCTGGCATCTTGGATTTGGCGTGGGATAGGACTGGTAGTTGTTGGACTTCTGTTTGGCTCTATACAGGCATCTTTCACTTTGTTCTTTTGAGTTGGAACCACATTTGGCGTCAACGGATATGGACTGGTCTCAGCACACGACCATTTTGGATTGCAAGATTTGGGCTTCGTTTCGCTTGCATGGATTGGACCGCATCTGGCGTGCATGGGTTCAGTCGTTTGAGCTTACTACTTGGACTGCTCACCGCTTGGAACTTGCTTTGTTTTGTTGGTCGTATCTCATTATAAGATTTGGGCTTTCAGCATACATGGACATCTCTGGATTTGGGCCTTGCTTTCCTTTGTGCAGGCCTCGTTTGTGGCTTAGTCGCCTTATTTATTTCAGGGCCTTTAACTCTGGTGCATGGACAATACTTCTATGTGGTTCACTTGACTATAGATGGTTCGGAACACATGATCCTAGCTTTTGTCCTACATTGGGGCAAGGAGATGGATGTGATTTGTTTTGGGCCTATATGGTTTTAGTGCATGATTTAAGTACTAGTCCATCTGCCGTTTTGAAGTGCCACACCTATACTAGCTTAGCTCTTTTAGTTGTACAAGTTGTTTTGGCATCTTTGGTTGTTTTTCTTTATTTACGAGTAAGGAGCCTGTTCATACTCGCGTGACTTTGTACTCATCTTTTGATTTAATAAAAGTATTATTTCTTGAAAAAAATTGAATATTAATATTTATGAATAGCCTTTAAAGTTGGTTAAAGTTGTGGTTTTGAATTTTGAGACTGTTTAGGTTAAATTTCTTTCTGAAAACTATTAGGTTTCCAAAACATATTTAACTACAATAAATAGCTTATTAAATCATTCATTTTGCTATTAAATTAGTTTTGTCTCTAAAGGTACTAATTGCACGAAGGTCAATATCATGGGTTGTTATTAAAATGATTTTTAAAAAATATAAAATATGTTGTTCAATAATTAGACTTAATTACATTAAATTATAGGAAGAAAAAAAACAAGCCCAAGATTTTTTCAATAAATAAGATGGTATGTAGCAGATGTTTAAAGACATTTAGCAACTTCAAGATCTCATTCTCTTACATATGTATAAGTACTAATGATACTTTTTTAATGTAGCACCTAAATGTAACATGTGAAAAAGGGGTGATTGGGAGTTTTTTCTATACCCGTGCACTGTTTGTAAAAAAGATAAACATGTTTATTGCATGGATGGTGTTCACCTCAAGTATAAAAAGTGCAAGGACTGCAAAGCAAGTAAACTAGAGTGAAAAAACTCAACACCACGTTGTTTAATGAAATTTTTGAGATTCAAATCAAATTTACCTGGATGGAAGGGGATGCATGTTGGTAGAAGAAAATATTGAAAGAATGCTGTTTTCATTGTCTTTCTGCTTTTTTGTAAACTTGACCTTCAAAATTTTGTATTTGTATTTCTGTACAGCAAATTTCATGGCTCTGTAATCGCCCTAGGCATCTAATGTGTGGGCTAAAACCAGAATTTGTATGACTGCTATTTTAATATTATATTGTTCACTTATGAATGAAGACAGTTCAAGATGCTTATTTTCTGCTCTAGTTTTACAAAGCAAACACAAGCTGTACTACCAAAATAGTGTTTAGTTCTCTTTCTAGAGCATTCAAAAAATTTGTATTTCATAGTCCTTCCTTGAAGCTTTCAAATTTTACAAATTCCCTTACCTTAGAGGATTTTCCTTTCAAAACATTGGGAATTATGAGAAAACATAGTAAAAGTGCAACAATTGGATGGAAAAGGACTATTAATGAAGACTCTAACAAAGGTAATAAACTCCAAGTGTACACCGCAGGTTCCCTAGCACTCAATTTTGAGTGTGGATTAGAAGATTGGAAAATGGATAAGGAATGTATGTTGATAAGAGTGATGGTGTACAAATGGGGTACACTGTTGGTGTACCACTGGCATTGCTCATAAGGCGGACGGAGGGTAGTTAATATGAAATGTTACAAAAAGAAAAAAATACTCCCTCCTTCCTGTGTGTTATTTATTTTAACATATGAAATGTCATTCTTAATATGTTAAACAATCATAAATATAGAGCCATTGTGGATTAGTGCAAAAAATAAAGCCATTGTTAGATTTTTTTTATAATCTTGTATACTTGACAAACAAAAAAAATTAAGGAATAACTTTATCACACAATACAATTTGGTTGAGTTGTGGAAGTAAGAAAAATCAAAATGGAACACTCATTTACAGAATTGGACTTTTGAGAAAAAATAAAAGATCTTCATGTCGGCTCACTAGTGTGAGAAGGTCACATTACACATCTGGACTTTAGGATCATTGGGATCATGGAAGAAGAACTGAAATAAAAGAACCTAAAAAAATACCTTGACAGATTCATCAAAAAAAATATACCTGGACAGAGACAGAGGAGTACGTGCTGCGAGCAGTCCACAACGCGAGGAAGATGAAGCCTGCTACTGTATCAGAAGGTTGCTACTCTCCTACTTGCTAATATTTTTGCGAAGTTGTCCTCTGCTCTTTGCTAAGTTGCTTGAAGATTTGAGATTTTGAGGATTGAGAAAGTGAGATACTGCTTTTTGCTATTTGGGGAGTGTCGAGTGCAATATTGAGGAAAGTAAGGTCAGGCTTGTTAATTTTTTGCAATTAAGCTATGTGTATCCCAACATTTAAGGTCCGTTTGGTACGCGGAATTCAAGCCACGAAATTGGAATTGGAGACTTTAATTCCAATTTTGATGTTTGGTATCAAAAAAATTTATAGAATTGGAATTCAATTCTAATTCCAAATTTTTCAATTCTGCATTTTTAATTCCATACCAGGATAAAAGAATTGGAGTGAATTCCACGGGTCAAAAAAACACGCGTCGGATTGGGTCTTAATTTTAGATCTAATTTTACGCAGATCTAAACTCCCACTCCTGCGCTCTTTCTCGCTTTCTCTCTCGGCTCTCTCATCTCTCTCATCTCCATGGGTGACCCTCGCAGACATCTCGCAATTCTCCATAGGTGAGGGTGGCGACATCTGGTAATTCTCTCTCTCTATCTATCTTTAAATTTGATTCTTTTTTTAGATTTGTTTTTCAATTTGTCAAATCTTTATCAAATCGGTTGTAGTTGTTAGCTAGGATTTTAGTGTCATTTTTTGAGTTATCAAATAAAGTGGTTGAGATCATAAAACATTTTCATATCAATTGTAATATAATTTTATGTTACCAAACAAATGATTTGGAATTACAATACAATTATATATCAATTCTTTAATTACACCAAACAAAGGATATGGAATTGAATTAGAATTCAATTCCATCCAATTCAATTCCATAGAATTTCAATTCCAATTCAATTCCAATTCCGCTTACCAAACGGACCCTTATACTCCAATTTGTACCCCGCAGGTTTGCACTAGCGTTTTGTGTTGGTGTAAAAGTAATTTTTGTTAACGCACCAATATTTGTGTCCGTGTAAATTTTTGTTAACGCACCAACACTTGTGTCGGTGTAAACCATCAAAATGTTTGTGCAAAACTGTGGTGTACAAGTGGGGTATATTTTTTGGTGTAAGTGTAGCATGGTCCTTGTACATGTACCGAAAAATTTGTATTCCATTTGTACACCAAAAGTATGCACCAGCATTTTGATGGTTCACACTGAAATAAAGTGTTGGTGCGTTAACAAAAATTTATACTGACACAAAGTGCTGGTGCGCTAACAAAAATTAGCATTACACCAACACAAAATGTTGGTGCCTCCTGCGATGTACAAAATGGGGTATAAATTCTTTGGGTACAAATTGCATTATCCTAATTTTTAGAGTAATTGTATATGCTCTAAGAGCCTGTTGTCCCTTGAAACAAAAAAGTTGAATGTTAGAAGAAATCGGAAGAAATTAGAACAAATTGGAAAAAAATGGAAGAAGTGGAAGAAACCGGAAAGAATTAAAAAAATGTGAAAAAACTAGAAAAAAATTAGAAAATCTTAAAAAACTTTTAATTTTTTTTTGCGTTTTAATATTATTCTCATTCTAATTCTTGTTGTTATAAATTGTTATTATTATTATTGTTGGTGTTGTTGTTGTTGGTGGTGGTGGTGGTACCATCACGTTATCTTAATAAATGCATTTAAGATAATTAAAAATATTGATATTTTTCATACAAAAAAATTACTTTTGAAAAAAATTAATTAGAATATAAAATTAGCATAAATATCAAAATGTTAAATACTTAAAAGTTATTATGGCTATACAATATTTATTATAAAATAATATATTTACAATTATATTTTATATATTACAAGATTTTGTTTTAAATTCCAGACATGTCATATAATATAATTAAACCTGTTTTTTTATTTAATGATTGACATTTTATTTTCATTTTAACCCTACTAGAATAAAGACATAGAACTTTTTTTAATATATTTTTATGTTTTACTCTTACTTTAGTCATTTTCTCTAAAGTACTTTGACTTTCAAAATATTTTTTGAAAATTATAAAAATGAAAAACAAAATTAATTTTTTAAATAAATATAAAAGAAAAAATTGAGTAATAAAGTATAATTTTTGTGTTGGTTGTATAAATTGGCATTCAAAAGTATAAATTTTATGTTAATTGTATTTTAATTATTGGTGATATTATTTGTTATCTGAATTTATTTTTTTACACTTTTTGGGTCGTTTTTTCCTTTTCAAAATGTAGTTCTCTCTTGGTTTTCCTAATGTAGTACTCCCCACCCCCATTCCATTTTTATATTTTATATTAAAATATTGATGTTTACCTTACATAAATTTAGATTAAAAAAACAATCTATACTATTTTATCCATAATTTTATTAAATAGTTTAAAATATTGATGTTTTTCTATTTTATCATGTAGATTAATATAAAAAACATGGTATTATTCCTATTAAAAAGTTGAAGAAAAAATAATAGTGAGTGTAAATCATAAAAATAGTGAGATGAAAAAAATGAAATAATTTATAAATTATAGTTATGAACATAATAGTTGTAATAATAATAATAATATATTGTTTTTAGAGTGATTTGTTGGAAAGTAGAAAGAGTTTGAAGAAAAATAAAAATAGTTAGAAGAAACTAGAAGAACTGGAAGAAATTGGAAGAAACTAGAATGAACTGGAAAAAACTTGAAAGAACTAGAAGAATTGTAAGAAACTGAAAGGAACTGAAAGAAACTTGAAGTTAAGAGTTCAAGCTCTAAACAACATGTTCTTTTATTTTTTATAAGAAAAATTTATTCAATATAATCTCAACTTCACTCCGTCTTTTTAAAAACGATCTCACATTTCCTTGTAATGTGTAATAATCACAACTTTACTTAAATTTATAAGTTTTGGGTCGTCGTTAAGTTGTTAATAGCGGGTTAACATAACGGCCTGTTTTGGACAACAAAATGAAAGCTCGAATTAATGAAATAAATAAAGTAATCAATAAAAAGTAAAATAAATATGAAAAGAAACAAAATAAAATTTAAGGATTGGAGTGCTCTAACATTTTGCGCTCTATAAAGAGTATTAATTAATGTACTACTTATTGTTTAAAAGAACATGTAATGTTAAGATTATTGTAGATAATTTTTTGTAAAAATAAGAAATAGTACACTAATGCTCTGTATAGTGTGTAAATTGTTAAAACCCGCCACTCCATATATTTTTATTTTAATCCTTACCAGTTTCAAGTTAATTTCTATTGGTTACTATTTTTTCATTAACTTTGTATGATTTTAGTTATTTCTCTCATTTTTGTTATTTTTTATATCTATTTTTTTATTGTTATCCAAAGTTAGACTAATCTTTAAAACAAGAGAAATCACCTTAAATAGGAATAGAATATAAAGAAAATATCAAAATAGGAGTTCCATAATTTTATTTCATAAATAAGAGTTCGCACTGTGGTAATTTGACATTGTACATGTGTATTGTATTATACTTTTTGGTAATGTATATGGTTATGATTGGTAATATAAATGCATTTTAACTCATATTTTAAAAATAAAAATATGGAACTCCTATTTTGGTACATTCTTAATGTTTTACTCCTAATTTAAAATTTTCCCTAATTTTTTCATTTAAATTTTTACAGTATTCAATGCAACACTCTGATAATTAATATCTATATTGACATATAAACATATTATTAAAATATGATATTTCAAACTTACATTTCAAAAAATTCTATTTTTGAAATATATTTTATAATAATCAATATTTTGTCTTCTACTTTTATCAATGTTTTACTTCTATTTTTGTCCTTTTTCCTTCCAAAGTCCTCATATTCTCAAAATCTCACCACTCACACACTAGCTACCCTAATAGTCTCCTAATAGTCCACAAAGTCACCCTGGGCAATCCAATCTCCACATCAAGTTAAAAATCCTTATTTATCCCTTTCATCATCACCAATAAACTCCACCACTCAAATTTTCTTTTTCCATCCACACTCTCTCGTTCATAAAATCTAGCAAGAAGATAATGAATCAGCAACCCTCCATAATTTTTGTGCTAAGGAAGAAGAAGTTGAGAAAAAACCTTCATAGTTTTGGGCTATTACACGCTCTCTTAATGCGAATGCATTGTTATGGCCAATATGTGCGCTGTGATTTGTCCTTTAGATTTTTTCAAGTTTTATTCTATTAAACTATGGATTAGTAAATAATGACTCATGACTCACTTTGAATGTAATGAGAATATCGAGGAATGTGTTGTATTTAGAAGAACTGTAATACAAATTTGAGAAATAGTCTGCCTATGCGGGATTTGAACCCACATCTGTATTACATACCGCTCTACCATTTGAGCTAATAGGCAACAAATTATCTTTTTCTCAAAGAGACTCACATCTTTCGCTTCAACACAATGCATCATTAAACATTTTAAATGCATCCTCGTTTGTAAAAAAATTCAATATCTAGAATATAATGCACTGTCACGAAGATTTCACGATTTATGCAGCATTTTTGGTTTGAGAATGCATAGTAACAGAATGCATCAATCTTTCCCTCGATGCAGAGAATGCATTGCCTTCTCATTAGATGCATTATCTTTACTCTGGTAATGCACTATAACAAAAAAGCAAACACAAGTAGAAAAGAAGAAAGAAAACACCCTGATCACTACAAAAATTCCAAACTGATTTGGATACGCCACCGAACAGAATTTGTGAAAGAATTCTCTCAAGGTTACAATTTAAGCCACCACGAATAGCAGCAACATAAAAACAACGAAAAGGAGAAACGAAATATGTCTAAAATGTAAGAATAAACAATACATATGTAGTGATTTCAAAAGCTCCATATCTTTCTGCATCTCTTGTGTTTCTACACGATAATTAACGTCTTCACCCATCTCTTACAGTTCATACGTACTCCCTGATTGCAACTTTTCAAACTACATAATATAAGATGCTATTGCATGAAAAATCAATCATGTAATGCATTGAAGGTATAAGATATTGCAACTTTATACTCTTAATTACGCATATAATACTTGATCAATATTTTCTTGTTCATAAACAATTAAAAATCATTCATGCCATTACTAGAAAGAGATGATGAAAGCCAAAAGTGTTCTCACCAAGAGATATACGATATGATATAAAGACTAGTTATGAGTGCCTTTAAGGGGTTAAACTAAGACATAAATGGTGTGATTGGGTTTGGGGTTAATTATTCCTCCAAAATCTAGGATTATTTGTTGGCTCTTAGGGAGAGGAAGGCTGCAAACGAAGGACAAATTGAGCAGATTCTTAACCACAAATACAAATTGTGATATGTGTAATAGAAAAGAGGAATTAACTACTCATCTCTTTTGGCAATGTGAATTTGCACAGAAATGATACTTTTCATATGAAGTTTCAGGCTAATTACCTTGAAGAAGTTGGAGTAGAGATGCAGAGAATTAAATACACATTCTTAAGCACTTGCATTACTGAGAAAATAGAAATCAAGTGTATCAACATCAAAGATGAACATAAATGTGCAGCAGATGGATATTGAAATGCAACATAAATGTGCACCATGTGAAATTAAAGGCTCGGTGAAGAACTCGAAGATCACAAACAATGCCTTAGTGCATAAAATGTAATTACAAACTCATCTGTCAATCATTTGTCATCGTAATTTCTAACAAGCTGTTGAATCGCCGACTAGAAGCGTAGCTCAGGTCACTGTTGTTGCACCGCATCGGAGGACCGCTGCCGCCGCACAGGACTCGCCGACCTAGTAGCCACTGTGGCTTCCACCCATCGTCTTCGTCAGAGCAGCCGCCGCCGCTCAAAAAGCCAATCGCTACCTCCGTCGGCTCTCAAGGGAAAGTCGTCACTAGGAATAGTAGCCCCAATCCTCACTACTCTTCTCCGATCTCTTTTTCCGGTACCTCTCTTATTGGGAACTGTAGTGCTTGATAGAAAGTCTGAAATTCATTCTCATTTTTTCATAAGATTGTCTTTCTCACCAGAACCAAAATCTATATATATATATATATATATAATTGTTTTAATTATACTATGTTGTGTTGATCCAACACCCTCATCAAGGTAAGTCTACCTAGAGGGAATATTTGGGACTGACACAAGTAGTTAGGGAAATAAGAGTTTAAACCAGGTGGATGCCTGCTAGGCTCTAATGGTTAAACCGAGTAAAAACGTAAGTACGAGTTTCTTTGAACTGCTAGGTGATCCATGAGGTGGGATTCCACTCACCCAGCACGGAACACCCTTGTTGGTAGAGCATGACCCGTTAGTCCAGTGGGAACAATCATGACATTAAACAGTAAAAAGGTCCTTGAGTCTAGTATAACAGTAGGAACATGTACTTGGTGATCCACCAACCTTGGAAGTTCCATAGGTTTGTCAAAAAGACAAATGGACAAGCACGAGGTAATTATGCTTGGTATTGTGTGTCTATAACATATGTGTTATTTGCTTGATATCACTTGACTGTATTGAATTATGGGATCCCTTGCTTGTTATTTTGACGTTAGATATTTCTCACTCTGCGTCAATGCTGAGCATGTAGTTTGTTGTTGCTACACGCAGGTTAACAGGGGGATGATGAACCTAGAGCCGATCCCGGAAGGCAATGAGGATAAGGAGATGTGGGTGGACCTAAATGAGGACTTGAACGCGCTCTTCATTTTAAAAATGACTAAATACATTTTCGGACATGAGTCCCAAGTTGTGCTATTTTAACTATTTAAGTTTCTGCACTGTTTTGTCTTACTCTACTGACGAATTTTAAATTGAGAACTATTTGGATGTTATAACTTGTTTTAAATTATTGCATGTTTGGACACCGGAATAGTAGCAACCCGGTTCATGTATTAAGGTTATGTGGGTTGGGGTGTTACAAATCGTCATTGCACAGTTAGTTTCATGCATCATGTAATCATCATCATAAACAACCATATTGATTATATGTGCCATCATGTAATCATCATCAAGAACAATGATATTGATTATATGTGTTATTATGTACCCATCATCATGAATAATTATATATGTTTATGTGAATGTATATATGTGTATATGTTTGCAAATTATTCTACAGTTCTAGCGTGGAACCACTCAGCGGTTTCGCTGAGCGTGTAGTTTTGCATTTTTGTTGGGCTACATATAGGTAACAATAGGATATTGACGAAACCACTCCTGGTGGGCATTAAGTCAGAGGAGGTGCAAGGATTGCAGGAAAATATTTGATCATCAATATTTCTATTTGAGTAATTATTTAATGGTTGTTGTACTTCTGCTTTACTCTGAAAAATGTTTTTAAATGGGTCGCAATCCAGAGTTTGTAAATTTGAAATTTACTAAGCATTTGTTATTTTCAAATGTCCAGTAAAATTTTGTTAACTCTGTTTCACCTTAATACGTGTAACTTCAGGTCATACGGATTAGGGTGTTACACGTCATGTTTAAAAACAACATTAGTATCAATAACAAGAACAACATCGAGAACACTAACAAGACCAAGAATAATTATTTCCTCTACGAAGGACTCAATTGTGACCGGCCGCTTATAGGCTGACTCAGTACCTCTAGCACTATCACACTCACTGGTATTTGTGACATTAGCCCCACTTTTCATGTCATCCTCGACGTGTGATTTGATGTTTAATCCTTGAGATCTAATAGAATCACTCACAATAGAATGTGTGCGATTGCGTCTCCCATCATATGGACAATCATATCTCCAACTTTCTGGACTTGGTGGAGAAAGTAGAGTGCCGATGAGTTTCCAAATAGCTCTCAACATGTTTGTTTTTAAAATGTGTAACTCCAATGGAATCAGACTTGCCACAATTGGGGGCACACAAACTAAATCTTGAATTGAGCAACAAATTTCTATGACAAACGCATATAAGTCCAAATTATAAGAGAATTGACATTCAATATGAAGAAGCGATTAAAGTTTCTTTATAATATCATCAACAGAATCTTCAACTACACATACTTCTTCATCGAATGTACTTTTTCCATAAAGAACATTCTCTAATAAACTAAGAAGATTGTCCATTGCACAATTCATGATCACAAACACCAAGAAATTTACCCGTAAGATAAATATAGCAGGAAATATATCGCCAATGAAAAAATAAAAAACCTATAATTGTTGAATTGTCACGAATAAAATATGTAGCAATTGTTGGGCTCTGGAAGTATATCGACAAAACTGGCTGAATCAATGCACCAACCCAAAATTGAGAAAATTTTCAATGAATCACCAATATGCTATTGGCAATCAACTACCCTTGGTAGTACTAAATTCTTCTGCATTGTGGTGGATTAAGTGATCAGCGATGGTTTTTTTTGGTGTGGTGAGTTCGATAACGAAATCACTAATTGATACGTTATATTGTGGCTGCATTCTATTCAACTTCTTTTTCTGCTTAGTACTACTTTTATTAAAATCATATCAGACCAGATCCAATCAAATAGAATCAGAATTACTATTATTATTATTATTATTATTATTATTATTATTATTATTATTATTGAAACATATTCGTGTATCAAGGAGGAACATGTCAAGTTATGAATTGAAAAAGAATAACACCCACCCTGGCTTATTATTATTATTTTTATTGCAACATGTCATAAATTTCTAATTTTTTAGTTTAAATTTAGAAAAAAATGTAATACTTTATGGCATAATTTTTTTTAGTATAAATTACTCTCTCCGTCCCTAATTTGATTACAAATTGGGGTTTACGAGAAAAAAATTTCTCACTTTTTAAAATTATTCTTTTTACAAATCGGTATATCAATAAGAAATAAAAATTACCGGAGTACATATTAAAAAAAACTATGTCAAAAGTTCTACAAAACAAGAGGTGACAAGAATATTTTATTTTATCAAATACTTGATAAAATTGCGCAAATAAACAATAGTTATCGAGAGGAGAGAGAGAAAAAATTGTAATCAAAATGGGGAGTCTTATGTAAAAAGTAAATTATTAAATTTTGTAATTATTGATTATTGTCAATGATTTTTTATTCTAATGTATATATAAATTGATTATTTTTATTTCATAAATCTAATAATTCTAAAACAAAAGTAATTGATTGTATTATAATATGAATGATCATTACAACTTTTAAAAATTATTAAACTATGATAATAATTTTAAGTTTAATTTGAATCAAATTTAGATCTAATTACATCAATTTAGATCAGATCCAATCAAATTAGATAAGACTAGATGGGATCAGAATTTCAAAAAAATCAGATTATATCAGAACTTTAAAAAATCAAACCCAATCACACAAACATAATGCAACCTGTATCGAGATAGGGAAGGATTAAGCACCTTCAAGCTGTGAGATTTGAGAAAATGAGATTAAAGAGACAGAACTGATAGAAGGGAGAAAAGAAAGAAATGAGGAAGATGAGATAGTACAAATGTAGTATATGTTATTTTTTCAAACAAAAATAATTTTAAAATTTAAGAACATTATAAAAACAATTTTAAAAAGAAATTTAAAAAACTTTGATTAATAAAAGAAACAAAAAAAGGGAAACAACAAAAAATAAATGAAAAATAAGAAATGAGCATCAGCACCCCCTATGATTTAGAAAATAGGCACCAATTGATGCCCTTTTCTTCGCCGGAAAATGAGTGGGGGGTATGAGTGCAATATTTTAAAACAACGAGAAGTTTAGAAATAAGTTTTGAAAATCGGGGGGTATTGTTGCTTATTTTCCAAATTACAGGGGGTAGTTATATTGCTATTTGGCCTTATAATAATACTTTCTCTGTCCCATAAAATATTTCTTGTTTTGATTTTTAAGCGATTTAAGAGGAGCGTATTTTGGTGTTGAGTTTTCAAAAATACCCTTGAATGTCATACGTAAAAGTAATCTAATGGGTAGATTAATAGTGAAAAAGTGTGATGTGATAACTAAGGTAGGAATTAGAAAGGGTAAAAGTGACTTTACAATGAAAAACATTTTTTGAAACAGATGAAAAAGAAGGAGAAAAGTTTTGTGGAACGGAGGAAGTAATAAATATAGTCCCACAACACCACGGAAGAACAACTCAAAGAAATAAGGGAGAAAGACTTAAATAAAACTAAAACATTGCAAATATACCAAAATAGTACTTCCATGTTTCTATTTTCGAAATAGGACTAAAAATACATTCACATTACCAAACATGGTCATGTACATTACCAAAAACTAGGCAAAAAGTATAGTAATGTGCACATGTACAATGGCACATTACAACCGCATTGCCACAGTGTGAAGTTCTATTTCGAGAAAAAATATGAAATACTTTTTTCTACATTTTAGTCCTATTTAGAGTGATTTCTAAAGAAATAATATCAAAGTGACGGAGTCTTCTTAATCTCTTGCTGATAACAAATGTACCTGTGTCTTTGCACAATCTGCGCCTTCGTCTACCATTGTAACTTCATCACCATGTTCATAATGTTCCTGAAAATGTGTAGCTATATCTACTGTTGGAACACGATTCAATTGACTTTCATCAGTCACTTGTGTCGCGCTATGTCTACGTTGGGTACTTCCCCTTCTGTCCAATGAAGCATAAATTTATGGGTATTTTGATATCCATATGTATCTGGGGAATGACCCATAAATGTGTACTACTTATATCTGGATATCAAAATGAAATCCATATTGTTTCCCTCACCAAACACATGCTAGCTCAATGCATATTGTCAATATCTCACACTTGTTTTTGTATGAATTACGAGTATATTTTTTTCTAAAATAATTTCCCCCCTTTTTTGTATTGTTCTAAAACAGGTTTTATATTTTAAATTTGGTGGTCCATATTAAGACAAATTCTTACGTGGTTCTAAACTCATAACAATTTTATGGACCTTAATACATTGATATCATAAAAAAATTGAGTATTTTACAAAAAAAGTCATTTGTCAGTCCATAAAAAGTGTGAAAAAATCTACATTTTATACGCGGACTACTCCCTTATTAATTAATTTTCTTTCTTAATAAATAGAGAAAAAAACTAAAGTAGAAATAAAACATTGAAAATAAACTAAAATATAGGACTTTAATGTTTTTATTTGCGAAATAGGAGTTAGAATGTATTTACATTACAAATCATGACCATGTACATTACTAAAAAGTATAGTAAAATGTACGTGTACAATACCACGACATTACCACAGTGCGACGTCCTATTTAGAGAAAAAAATATGAAACTTCTATTTTGTTACTTTCTTTATATTTTACTTCTATTTAGGGTGATTTTTTTTAATAAATCTCAATCAAATATTTTAGTTTCTTAAATTTCATTGAAATTTAAATCAAGAACTTTAATCTGGGACGGGTATGAATAAGGGTATTCTTATAGTAAAATTTGCATTAAATAGGACTAAAACATAAGTCATTTCTCAATGTACGTAGGACTTAAACTTTTTTATTCCCTAAATAGGACTTAATAATGTCCAATGGAAGAAATAATGTCCATGATGGACATTTACTTGAATAATGACCAAAGGTCCTACACTGGAAAATAAAAACATATAGTTTTATATTGGGAAAGTCATTATGTTTTAGTCCTATTTAGGTAAATTTCTCATTATTATACTCCTTATTTCATAATTGGCAAAAAAGGAAAATAATATAAAATCACAAGTAGAAACAAAATAAAAAAAATTCAGATACGTGCATGTTCCTTGGTAAAAATTTGGGTCGAGTTTGGTATAAATGAATGCGGAGTAAATTGCGAAAATTGGTGGTATAAATAGTCGCCCCACCCTCCATACAACATAAAAATACAGTACAATAATTGAAGAAATAGATATAATTGTTCAAATCTGTTGGATCAATATTTATAATTAGGGGATGGATTCAAGAACCATGCATCATGCTCTGGTCATAATGACTCTCTTTGTGGTTGCATTTTGTACGTCCACTTCCCCTTCAATTCTATGATGAAATGCTTCTACTCTCATACCTTCTCAAAATCATTTCTATTTATTTAATTAATTTCCTTCTTAAAGTATTCCGATATTTTTTTTTGTGTTTTTTGATTAGTTATTTGACAAAATATAATTTTCATGCCACCATTTATTTCGTAAATTTTTTGATATACTCTGTAGTTTTTTTAAATTTGTAAGTTTTATTTTTTTATTTATATATACTAATATATATGTAAATACAATCATTTAAAAAATCGCTGTTTTGCACGTAAAAATAAAATAGGAAACATTTTCAAAAGCGGGAGTACTGGCTAACTTTTTCAATTTCAACAATTGATTGGTAAAGTATTTAATTAATACGAAATAAAATTATCTGATATACTTCCTTTGTCTCATAAAACTTTTCTTTTTTCATCTTCCCAAAAAACCTAGCTAATTTATATTAAAAAAGCCATTTTAATTTGGTTCTATTAATTTTTAACCTACCAATTACATCACACTTTTTCACTATTAATCAATTTATCACATCCTACTTTACCGCATCATATTCAAGGTTATTTTTGAAAAGTCATCAAAACCAAAATACGTTCCTCTTGAATTTTTTAAAAGTCAAAAATAGAAAAATTTCGAGGGGCGAAGGGAGTATATGTATATATGTATCTATCTATCTCATCTCAAATATTGTAATTGGTTTGTATTTATTAACAACTATGCATACTACGTTCTTTTTAGGCGTTATTAGTCCATCAGGGAGGACGGAAGCAAGGAATGTGGCCATGCCATGCAAGAACGACACGGATTGCAACTACTCACCAAATTGCAAATGCGGCGGCTTACATCTTTGTAATTGCACCCCTCCTACTGCGCCAAGCAATAACGGGTCTCCTCATCCACTCAACAACGACCAGCCTTTAATAATTACAGAGTAGTATTTCTTAATTAATTAATTAATCAATTTCGCGCATGCATTTATGAATGTACCAATATAAAATGCATGCATGCATATGTACGTACATGCATGCATATGTTTAGTGAAGTATGCAATTTAAATAAACCATAAATGTTATCGATGCCTTGTCCTATTGTGAACTATAATACAATGTACAAATATCTAAATAAATGGTTGATGCAGGAATCCAGATAGTTAGGGGCCGTAGCTCTTCCTACATTGTTTGTGTAAGGGAAAAAGATTAAAATAAGCAAAACGTACTCTTTCCGTCTCAAAAAATTCTTCTTTTTTATATTTGTGTCTCATAAAGTTTTTCCTTTTTTTATTTAAAAACAACTTTCACCCCTCCGGAAATGTAAAACAATAAGATTAGCTCCGTGCAAGATTAACGTGTTGGGCCCTAGTTTTCTTGGTGTGGAATACTTGTACATTAAAATTAGTGCTAAATTTGATTTTTAATAATTATTTTTATAACACTTTGAATATTAAAATATAAATTAAACATTTACAAAATTAAAATTAAAAATATCACACAATTAAAATAAGTTTCACGAGAGAAATACAGAGAATTTCCTCCCAAAATACAAAGATCTAACCCTCTTTATATAGGAAGAGGATAAAGTAAACAAGAAAATTTCTATTCCTACTAAAATAAGAATTAAACAAACTAGAAAAGATACTAAATACTAAACCTAATCCAACTAGGAAAGATACTAAACCTAATCCCAAAGGGATTCAGTTTTCTTCTTCAATCCTGCTTCCTTCTTCTGTCTCTAACACTTTCCTTCTTCCATCCTGTTTCCTTCTTCTATCTCTGACACCCCCCCTCAAGCTGGAGCATGGAAGTTCAACATGCACAGCTTGGACATAAAAAACGTTCCCTCGATTCGCGCATTTGCGTAAGCTTCTCCGGCAGATCCCACGTGCAATTCCTACACGTACAAATTGGGAATTGCTCCAAACCTGCAAGAAACTTTTCCTCGGTTTGCGCATCTGTGCAGGCTTCTCCGGTAGGTCCCACGTGCAATTCCTACACGTACAAATTGGAAACTGCTCCAAACTTGCAAGAAACGTTCCCTCGGTTCGCGCATCTGCGCAAGCTTCTCCGGCAGGTCCCACGTGCAATTCCTACACGTACAAATTGGGAACTGTTCCAAACCTGCAAGATCGTCCCACAAGCTTCTCCGGCAGGTCCCACGTGCAATTCCTACACGTACTAATTGGGAACTACTCCAAACCTGCAAGATCGTCCTACAACCTCTTCATCTTCCCATAATATTCCATTATGGTGAGATTCTTCTGTTGGCATTCCGCCAAATCCCGCTTCAACTGCTGAACCCTCAGTCCATTAACCACAGAGAAGCGGGCCTTCAAATCATTCCATAGATCTGAAGCTTTTTCCACATACGATATGCTGCATCTCAAGGCTGGATCAATCGTGTTCCGAATCCAAGAGACCAACAACAGGAGACTGCCGACGGGACGGTCGATGTGCTCGACCGTTCTAAAGCAACGATCGACCGTTCCGTTATCCGGAAGCAGCAGCGAACAACGGAAACTGCCGTCGGGATGGTCGACCCACTCGAACGTTCTTCAGAAACGGTCGACCGTTCCAGAACTTTGGTAGTAGCAGTGGGCGACGAAACTGAGCAACGATCGATGGACACGATGCCGGGTGATCGTGAACAGTAGCCGCAAAAATTTCTAGGTTTCATAATATTATTTAGTGAGGAAGAACAATCAAATCAAAAATTACAATATCCCACCGGTAGGCATTGAATTGAATATGCCCACCGGCAGGGGAAGAAGTGTGTTTCAGGTCTCAAGAATTCAAAACTGGCTTCGATACCATGTAGAAATTAACAAGATGGAAAATATTCTGTATATTGAATTGACTTCCGAATACAAAGATCAATCCTTCTTTATATAGGAAGAGAGTAAAGCATATAAGTAAACTTATATTCCTACCATATTTCAATTCCTACTAAAACAAGAAATAAACAAACTATGAAAGATACTAAATCGAATCCCAAAGGGGTTCAGTTTCCTTCTTTGATCAGGCTTCCTTCTTCTGTCGCCAACACCCCCCTCAAGCTGGAGCATGAGAGTTCAACATGCCCAGCTTGGACATCAAAAGATTGAACAAAGCTTGAGGAAGCCGCTGCCATCGTTGTCCAAGTGTCATCTAGACACTTCAGTTTTTTCTTCAACGGAGACGCCAAGCATTTTGAATCTGTCGAATAATCAGTCGAGTAAAGGAACACCATTCTTTTCGAACCTTCATTGAATTCAAACGAACAGGACGAACGCCATCGTTTTCGCACATCCTGAACGTCACTTTTTTTCGCCGGCAAAATAAAGAATTGTTTATCTCTGTAAAACAACCCTTGTCGGACAATTTCTTCATGAGTTATATTCTTCATTGAGAAGGACATCCTTCTAGGGATGACGGGAGTGACTTGCGGCCAAAGAGACCCTACATGACAATTAGTGTGGCACTTTCCACAAACCAATATGGATTTGTTTCTGCGGCAAGGTGAAGGGTAGAAAGGGTATGGAATGTTGATGATTCTTGTGATTCAATATGGGTAAGGTTTAGGTTTGAGGTGTTGTCAGTTTGGTGGTGGTAGGAAATTTGGATTGGGGGAAGAACAACAGCCCGGAGGGCGGCTAATGGTGGTGCCGCCCGCCAGGTGGGAAGACAGAAAATTTTAGGTCACCAAGAACTTTGCTCCGATACCATGAAAGAATTATTTGGGAAGAAATTCTCTGTATTTCTCTCTCGTGAAACTTATTCTAAATACAAAGATCTAACTCTCTTTATATAGGAAGAGGGTAAAGTAAATAAGGAAATTTCTATTCTTACTAAACTAAGAATTAAACAAACTAGGAAAAATACTAAATACTAAACCTAATCCAACTAGGAAAGATACTAAACCTAATCCCAAAGGGATTCGGTTTCCTTCTTCAATCCCGCTTCCTTCTTCTGTCTCTAACACTTTCCTTCTTCCATCCTACTTCCTTCTTCTATCTCTAACACACACCCTCCGGCCACCCATGTAACCTATTGATTCTTACCCTACCTATTATATCATATCTTTTAATTAATCATCTACTTATCACATCCTAGCTACTTTATCAATTACATCAATCATATTTTTGGAAAGTCAACACAAAATACCCCTTACTTAAATTTTCTAAAAATCAAAAGGATCGAGATCAAATTTATGGGACAGAGAAAGTACAAAATATACCAAAATAGGAATTTTGTAACACCGAAACCCGTGTAACCTAAATCAATGAGTTTGCGAATCAGATTGCTACTAATTTGGTACACACATGCACAATAATTTAAAAACATGTAAAAAATATCTATTGCTAATAATTTAAACTAAATATAAGTTTATCAGAGTAAATAAATTAAATATTGTGGAAGCCCTTAAAAAATATCACAAAGCATCCTTGAATTGTAATTTAAGTAAATAAAGTCAGCAGAACATGCAATTAAGTTGAATTCAAACAACTTTAGGCCATTAACTTCGTAGAGCATCACTTATCATTGGGTTGCTCATCATACCTGTGTGTGTGCGCGTGTGTGTGTGTGTGTGTGTGCGCGCGCGCGCGCGCGCGTGTGTATGTATGTATGTATATTTAACGCTTGAACCAGTTTATAGAGTGGATGGATATCCGGACCCATCAAACAATATTATTATAAACGACCCAGTCCACAAGAGAGTGGATTGGGCAGTACGAAATGGGGATTGGTAAATGAGATACCAAAGGCCTAGTTTGCGTTTATATGCCCAAGTGAATAATACAAATCGTGGCAGCCCCAAGTCGTGGGAAGATCAAGGGTTGAGTTGTTAACCTCAACAATCGACATACAAGAGATAATGGTCAAGACTTATGTGCACGACGAATGCCCATCATGTATGTAACTGTAATGTAGTATAAATAGAGGGAGAATTCTCCATCGTAAGGGATGCAATTACAAGAACAAATAAATTAATATAAATACATTAAGAATCATTATTGTTGATATTATTTTCCTAAATCTATTCTTCTTTTTTATAGTTATTGGGATAAATCCCATCATTGGTGCTTCCATTGAAAGTCAAGACTAAGAGATTGTGAGTATGTAGAGAATATGGCTTGTCGAAGAACGAGAAACTCTAAGCGTAGTGCTGCTAACTCTCAGCAGTCATCAGCCGCAACCTAACAAGAGTTCCTAAACAATGTAACCAATCACCAGCTTAGCGGTGTGGAAGCGGCATCGAACAACCTTGCCAACATGATGGAAAATATTATGGATAGAATAGAGAAAAGTTAGCCTGGAACACCTAGGAGTGTGACAGGCTAACTCGGGAAAAGACTCAGGACCTGATAGCTCGTCGAATAGCCTGGCAGCCGCGCCATGCGGAGACTAGGAGCCTGAAGGGTTCGATCTTTGAGCGAATGACACAAAGGAGGATACTGATCAGTGCACGACTGGGGAAAAATCTAGAGAAAGCTCTGCTTGGATGAGAACCACCCCATCCAAGCCATGTTGAATCATCAAACTGGGATCCGCGCCGCACCGGGTCACGAGCTAGGCCAAGGCAAGTTGCAAGAGATGAAGCCCATAGCCAGGTCCGGGTCCTGGCTTCTCAATGCCCGGGCTAGCCCAATCAGGGAATGGGGGATTTCCGAGATTTACAACAGAAAATCCAAGAGATGCAGTGGAGGTTTAACCACGGTTGGGTCTTCACCACCCGAACGAATACCCCATTGGCTCTAGAGATATTTGCAGAACCATATACCAGGTGGTATTTAAGGTCCCATTCATCAAATGATATGACAGGGAATTGGATCCCTAGAAGCGGGTAAACAGTTACGTGTAGATAATTAATGATAGCCGTGGATGCGACAGAGGCTCTGATGTGTCGCTACTTTTTTAAGACCATCGATAGTAAGGTGGTGGACTAGGTCAACCATATTCCTTCTGGGTAGATTTGGACCTGGGACCAGT